GGTATTGATAAAATTTTAAACGTGAACGATAATACGTTGCTGTTGTTCCAACGAATAACAGTTTAATATTCTGAATTTTTGTATCGTTTCTATATTCTCTTAGATTGAAATTTAACATATTGATATATTTATCAATCGCTTCTTATTTAAGAAGAAAAGTTATCTTTGATTGCTAAGTTAACAATAATTTATCACTTCCTTCAATCTGATTTGTATTTAATTTTGTTGCCTTTTTTTTCGTATTACCTTGGTTTCACGAAAGTGAACCTCTTAATTACTCAAAAATACTGTATTACGGCCTGCGCGTGCATCAAATTTTGATTTGTTTTATTTATTTAGGAAAACTAATTGCGCGCACATCGATGTTAATGGATGATATTGAATATAGCTAAAGCTTCTTGTTAGTTTCATAATTGGTGCTTAGCAGTCCAAAGCGCTAAATAATAATCAATCCATTTGAATTTTAAACACGCCTTTCTCTCTCTTTTGTATAGTTTCAATATTTTTCCGTAACGAGACGTTTGCTTCCTTTTTTATTACAGCAGAATGTGCGTTACACGTATAGTTTTTCGCTGTCGGCTTTTTGTTTACGAATAACAAAAGTCTTGCGAAAATGTTTGCGGATAGTATCTCTGTCGAAATGTATTTTTGTGTATAGTCGCCTTGGCGTGCAACCATTAGACTAGATCTTGAAAATGGATCAGACTTATACGATATTGCAAACTTTGAAAATCTTGTTACTGGGAGAACTTTCTGTTGTTTTTTAAATCTTTTTAATATTATCAGTTTTTCTTTTAATATAGAAATGGACAATTATTTTCTCTATCTAAAACAATAATTAAAATAATATTTTTTATCACACTCCTAGAAAGATGTACCTACTGTTAAAACTTTGATTCATACAAAAGAAATGATCTTTCAAATTAATTAAATTAATTCTCGAAAAAATTATGAATTATCTTTCAATAATATTTTGTTATTTTATTATTTATCGCTTTCGATGCACATTTGTTAATCCGTCTCTTCTATAGATACTACAACACTAACATTCAATAATCCCGGACGTTTATTGGATAATTAAATGCTTCGCAATGTTTAATCCATATTCGAAAGATATTCATGAATATTCCGCGCATATCCATTCTATAGAGATGATTGTACTACGCAAATGTAATCGTAGGTACAGCTCACGTACAAAACAGCAACCGCATGCAGGGAAACAGATAGCCGCAGCGTTAGACAATATCTTCGATACTAGCAATTCCCTCTGGTCTACGAAAGATTACCGCATACGGGTGTTGCGAATGGGACATACAGAATCGAAAAGAAGAATGCAGTAAAGCGTGGTGTACAGATATCGAGCGAGAGATAAAAAGACAGATAAAGAGAGGAAAGGAAAAGGAGAGAGAGAGAGAGAGAGGAGAGATAGAGAAATGAAGAGTTCATGGATGAAAGAGGTACATAGATCCAGGGAGATCACAGGTCAGAAAAGAGACGTAGGTGCGATGGCGCGAGAGCGTTGATTGAAGTGCACGTACTTACGCGCGGGTGTACTTACGCAGATGCGTTGCCGCTGTGTGCAGCGGATGCAGAATGTGGGCGGTAGAGGTGCATTGTCGGTCCTCCCTCGTGGTCGAGCTGCTAGCTACGCCGTTTCGGTGATGTTAAATCACGCTGACTGCGCTCGCGAGTGCAGCGAGCGGTTAATACATTCGAGCGCGCAAGTGGATTGCGACGAACGCGTGAAAAATAGCGTGCACGCACAACCGTTATATTTGTTTATGATTACGCAATGGTACTAGCGCTCAAATATGCTTGGATATTTTTTAGATATCAAATTTTTGGCAATATCTATGGATGTTCAGGCGTTTATTGAAATTGCTGTTGTATGAAAAGAAATTCTCATGGAAAAATCACTGTAAATAAATTGTATAACACAAAGTATTATGATACAAGCATTATACGAATTACGAATCACGAGACAATTGAATATTCAATAAATGTCCAAGAATATTTGAAGAATATCTAAAAATCTGTGCATAGTTTTTTCCGAGATATATTAAGAACATGGTTATTAACGATCCCTAATCGTTGTATTTTCAATTGATAATTCGAGAGTTGTTTTGCGAAGCGCGATTAAGCGAGCTCGTAAGAACCGATTTTACGCACGACTTAATTTAAATTTTTCCTGTAAATATATTGTCTCGCGAGTATTACTCACAGTTCGTGGCTTTCTCGATTGAATATCGGTTGAATAAACTTACGCAAATTGACTGTAAATGAATAATCGTCATACTTTTATATAAATCACTGTCCATAATATTTTGATTTGATGGAAAAAGACTTAAATATTTTCCGAAAGAATTAATTACACTGCATCTCACTTCTCTTTTTACTTGTCCGCGAGAAATTTAGAATAAAATATGATAGAATAAATAAGAAATAAGCCTTCTTTTACTAATAATCTTTTTTGTCGCGCGAATTTAAATTCTAAATTGGCGATTCTATCCATGAGACAGCGCGTAGCGGCAATGTGAATGTGGATTAACGGGTTTTATTAACCGACGTTCTCCTCGATTCGTTCGAATCGCGATTCTATCCAAGAATCGTTCGTTGATTTTATTTTGAAAGCGGAATGTTGGATTTTTATTCCCGTGTCAATTTGTTTAGTTACGACGGCCCCTTGCAAAGCCGCGTAACAATTATTTTTAATCCTAGGCTCCGGATTTTTATGTGAACGCCGCTGGTGTGTTTCATGGTTCCGCTGTTATCTCTTTATGGGCGCCACGGCAAAAGCGCAATTTGAACGATATTCACGTTTTTATTCGATCGGTCACCGATCCTCGCCGAATATCGCCGTCGAATTCGCGATTGTATCGTCTCGTGGCCGAGACGACAACACGAGATCGACGATGCCCGTGCTGCTGTTCAGTACAGAACTTGAGTAGAAGAAATGCGACGTGTATTGTATGGTTCAACGATCATTATTTAGCGATTACGAAACGATCGGCTGTACAATAATTTGAGATCTCGGATCACAAATATCCGTATAAAACACGGTACGGCGAATCTTCTCCTTAATTGACGTCTATAGATAGGTGATATACAATGTGAGAGAGGCGGTATTTCGTAGCTCTACCGTTCTGTTTAATAAAATTATTCGTTTAGATACTTATCACAACAGGTGGAATATATCGTAGGAACCCTGCCTGTGTTTTAACATGTGTGTGTGTGTGTGTGTGTGTGTGTGCGTGCGTATGTGTGCGCGTGTATGTGTGTGTGGTGTGTGTATGTGTCTCGCGCGTTTGTGTATGTATGTCGTGTATGTCCAATCTTACAACCACAGCGAATCCCGATTATATCAGGTATTGAAAGCAGTGTAATTTCAGCGAGTTCAAATTTCTGCAGACAGGCGAAAACAATATCTGCGCTTATACGCGACAATGAAAACGTAACGTTGGCGTAAGGTTCATTTTTCCGTATATACTTTGTATTAACAATTGAACTCACCGAAATTCTACCGACATTTTAATCCCCGGATTACATTAACGGAGTTTCCGATCACACGCGCTCGCAGCGTCTCCCTCGGCGCTTAGAATTACACTTTCGCGTAAAAACTATTTACACAGGGAAAATGATTGCAGAAACGGATACGACTCGACAAACAATTAAAATATCGGGCGTTGTACAATCGCGCGCGGGACGGTTTGGAAATTGCATTCTCGTATCCGCGCCAATTGTTTTCCCTCACGCGTATCCGGAGAGTCGCTACCGTATTATTTTATCTACAGATATCCCGAATATCGAGAATCGAACGCGGACAGTGTCTCATTCTCCCATTTTATCGATCGCGAAGGGAATCGTGACATTTTGCATCCCGTTTTAAAGTGCACGAACAAACTGGAAGCGACAACGTACGACGCGTATTATTACATCGGCGATAAACCGGAAGAGAAACCATACGAGATCGCGGCCAACTTTCGTCGCCCGTGGCTTAAGGAAGGGACTCGTAATAATTATAATCACAGTCCAATTCCCTGCACAATTGCGTAGATTAGCACAAATATTTCTAGTGCTCGATGCAAAGGGCAATAAGTCAAAATTTTTCGTTGTTTCAAGAAAAATGTGAGATAAACTTCAAATATACCACAAAATAGAATCATTTATGATTAAACGTGATAATCTCAGTGTTATTTTTCTGTTAATGTAATTGTTGGAAAATACGTTATCAATTTAGTACATCTTTTGATTTATTTCAAGACAAAATTGACTCGAAGCCTTCTTATCAAGCACCAGACACATGGTCTTATCAAATAATTTATGAAGATAACATTTTTTTACATGAGTATAAGCTTATATTTAGAAAACGTAGAGTTTTAACTTATTGAGTTCATATTCTACTAGAATGCAATTTTATTTGCTGCTTTGATATTATCCGCGATTAGTATAAATAAAATATTCGTACGTTTTATTATTTATGAGCATTATACTAAAAAATCGAAATGCATCTTGCACTAATTTTTTTTGAATAATTTTAGATAATCTCGTGAAAGAAGAGATACATCTTGAAAAAATAGTGAAACACAGCGTTCGAAAAGAGATATAATTTTAGCATTAGATATAATAGTACAACATATAATTTTGCGCAGTTGAAAGTGAATGAAAACTCTACATTTCTCGCCGATACTCACGTTTATCCACATCGTCCGTGTGTTCGTACTAGAAAACCATTTGTATTCCAACATTCCCGATTACAGCCGAGGAGACAGCCGTGCCGCGTCCGGTGGTGTCGCGCGGGATCGGTTAAGGAGATCGTCGCAGACCCATAAAAAGATCCGCGTCGCGCGCGCCATTTATTCGATGTCGATCAACCTGACGGCGCGATCCAGGCAAGAAAGCGTCATCGTTGTCGTCGCGTCGTTCACAGGAATCTGTGTCTTGTTCAGGGCCGCAGTCTCCCGCAGCAGCCGCACGCTGCCCTCGTAAGTCGTCGGACGGTGTTATTGCGAGGACGTCCGCGGTGGTTGGCCGTTGGGCGGCGGCGGCGGCGGGGGCGGCGGTTGCGGGTGCACCTGGTGGGATAGTAGACTGTGCGCCTGCACGTGGGCCGCCGCCGGGTGGTGATGGTGGTGCTGATGGTGATGGGAGTAGAAGATGGGCTGCGCCGTGGTGGGCGCGCACGAGGTGCCGACGCCGACGCCGACGCCCACACCGACGCCGACGCCGACGCCAACCGAATGCGACAGGGCGGAGGTCCCGCCGACTGACGACGGCGGTGGCGGACCCGGCGCCGTCACCGATACGGACACACCGCCGGAAGCGCCGGTGCCGGCCGACGCTTCGTGATACAAGATCGGCACCCTGACCAGCCTCTGGGTGGCGTGCGCCATGTTCGCCGCCTCCAACTCGGCGGCCAGCTGTCGCTTCCATTTGTTCCGTCGATTTTGAAACCAGATCTTCACTTGGGTCTCCGTAAGCCTGAGCGAGGCTGCGAGGCCGGCGCGCTCCGACGACGAGAGGTAGCGCTTCATATCGAACGTGCTCTCCAGCTGGAAAACCTGCGACCTGGAGAACACCGTCCTGGTCTTCTTCTTGCGCTTTATGCTGTTCGACTCGCGACCGTCCACGCCGACTTGGACGTTGTTCTGACCGTTGCTGTTGCCGTTGCCGCCGCCACTACCGCCGCCGCTCACCGAATTTCCGTGAACACTCGTCGAGGTGGATTCGCCTTCGCCGTCGGCGTCCGCACAGTCGTCCGCATCGCCGAGATCGTCGTGCGCATCGTCGCCGCTCGACGGACTCCTCGCGCGATGCAGGCGATCATCGCCATTGTCGTCATCCAGCTCGTCTACGCAGAAGAAAGACGCGTGTTGATTTCGATCACTCTGTGGCTTTTCTAACGCTTCGTAACACGCGAGCTATGTGTTTATCTTGAATTTATTTTTACGTGTTTTTGCTTTTTCGAGATCTATTCTCGCTCAACTCGTCAATATTATCTTGTGAAGTTGTCGTATTGCCATACATACTTGGCGCGAGGCGCTGCCTCTTGATACCGATCGTTTATCGATAAACACGAATTATTATCTGCGAAAATGTTATCCCATTCTTCTGAAATTTTCACCCAATTTTAACGGAAATCATGATTGCTTCTTTTTCTCCTTTCCAATATATTTATTTTTTATTACAATCAAAAATTTCCAGAAACATCTTTTATAGATTGGTATTCACACTTTCTTACTGAATGATCTTTTTTAAATTATGGAAGCAGAGATAATTATTATATTTCAATCGCGTTCTTATAAAGAATAATCGGATAAACCTGATTAATGATACAAAGCTGGTAAAGATAACAATTGCGATCACATAATAAATTGGTAATGATATTTGTAATGTATGTAGAGTATATGCCACAGGCAACCTTGTATATTTATCGAAATAATCAAATCGTTAGCGAGAGAAAGGCAAGCGCGTTAATCGCTCTTCTTTTTAAACGTGATCCGCATGCGTCAATCAATCTGGCGAGAGCGTTTTGGATTTACAAATTCTCTCACGCGCTTTCCGATAAATCGCTATTATACATTTCTCTATCCGTATTGAATATTTAATCAATTAATAGAACGCTAATTAATATTCTATTAATCCATTTTGACATAATTGCTGCGGATTGAATTCTCTACGCAAATGCAAATGCATCACCCGTGGTGTTATTTGCGACGTATTCATATTTGTGTAAAATACCATTATACGTCTCCGCCCGTCTCTTTCTAAAGTACATGGCAATACGGAGAGAACAATGAAACATAACAATTTGTTTATTTCCTATAAATATTTTCTTTTTCACATAATGCTTTTTAATTGACATGCAATATTTCGCGACATATACAAATCGAATAAAATATTCATCAATTTTCTTCGGAAATTTTTTGTCACAGAAATGATTCAATAATTAGATTCGTTCTAAAATTTTTTTGATGAAATAAATTTTAATCACAATAATACAACGACATTTGAATATAGACCGCGATCGAAGATTAATGATTCTTTTATTTTCAATGAGAAAATGACATTTAGGATGTGTTGCAGGATGTTTAATTCTTTCTCTATACAAATGATCGTTGTAGCACAGAAAAGTCTCGGCTGAAATTAAATACAATACTTTTTTATAATCAATAATTTGATATTTGTTATCAGAAATATAATCGAGCAGGATATATTTTTAAAAATACGCGTTTTCCAATTTTTTGTTTGTTAAGTGAGAATCATTATTACTATTGAAACAAAATCTATTAAAAAATCTGATTCATGTAGCTTTAAATATTTTCTCTATTATATTTTTCTATACAATTATTTAGATTACGTCTGTCTATTATCAACAAATTGTTGCATTAGATCTTTAACAATCTGCATGCCTGAATCAAAACAGGAATAACGCGAAACAATACAGTAATCAATTTATCATCTAACTATGATAGTAAAATCCATTTCCGTTCCTATAATTATCGTAAAAAGATTTATTGTTGTTTTGTGGGGAACAATTAAGTCGGACGAACGAGTGTGACTTGCGAACAATAGCGAACGATTGTAGATGTGTCTGTAGGTGCAGATAGTAACTGCCTAAGTGCTTAGGCAAGGTGGCAGAAGCAAAACGATCAGCGGGTAAGGCGATCGACGTTGGTTTGTCGTGGTGGAAGCCGTGGAAGCCTTACACGTAGTTGTATACGCGAAGATAGATACACTTGCGTCTATATGGTGTATATGGACAATATATCTGTATATTTATAGAGGTCTCGTGTTAACCCTCGTTTCTTTCCCTCTTCTCTTCGCGATCTATATGAGTTATCGGCATTCTACATCTCGATTGTTCCGAAACATCGGTCTGCGCATTTCTCGATGTCTGTTCAATGTATCGAATTTTTCGAATTCTTCTCTGAAGCATGAAAATTTTCATGTCTGCTCTTTGACTAATTTAAAAAATGTAGTCAACTCTAAGACAATATAATCCGATTTAGCGATAAATGTTATGAAAGCAAGAAAGTAAAAAGTCATTTGTTAGTATTACGATTGTAATAAAGTAATATTGTTATAGCAGTAATAGATTAATAATAGGATTATATCAATGAATTAATTAATTTGCCTACGTTAATTATTGTTCTATGTTATTATCGTCAGGTAAAACGAAGCACAGCTTTCATAATCGAAAGCATTTATTTACTCATTTATATTTGTGGAAATAATCTCAGACATAGTCTTAGTTTTATTAGAGGTAACCGAATGATTCAGTTATTACTATTTTTTTCATGAAATATATTATTGCGTGTAAAGTATTGAAAATAAAATTTATAGTTCTAGATTTCCACTTTCCATTTAATCGTAGTATGAAAAAAAAAGGGGAAAATGTTTCGTATTACTTTAATTTTAACACGAGATGAGAGTCGACGCGCCAGACCACCGTTGCGAAACAATGTTAGCATTTCCTTTCATCCGTGGGGTGCGTTTTTCTCTTCGGATTATCCTAAATAAGCCGTCTCGATCTGCTCGGAAAGAGGGAATCGAACTCACCTCGCTGCGGGAAAGACGCGGACGCGGGACTGACGCGGCTGAGGGTGCCGACCACATCGCTCGGCGACGGATGCTCGAGCGTCTGCAGGCCGTGCGTCGGCCTCCATGGAAACGGCCAGCCGGCGCCGCCGAGTAGGACACCGCGAATGCCGTCGGCGTCAACGATATCCGGCGATTGACCGGCGACCTGTACGGCATTGCTGAGGGCGGACGATGCGGCGGCGGCCAGCCGCGAATGATGTTGATGCTGCTGTTGCTGTTGATGAAGATGTTGCAGTGTCGACGGGTAGAACAAGCCGCCGATGCCGACCGGGTATCGGCTTGCTATCAATCTGCGATAAATAGCGCGTGCTTTTAACACTGGTACAATATTTTTGATAGTATACACACATATAAACATTTGTCAAAATGATTAAGAGACAGTGAGATTGCAATGTGACAAAGCTTGTTTAGATATAAATCCGGATAGGTGAGAATCGGAAAGAGCAAACTGTAATTTTAATGAGCGATAAGTCGATTAATTTGTGGAATCGATTTAAAAATTATTTATGAGATACGTATAATTGAGTTGTGAGTAATTGAAAACAAAAAACTGCCGCGATATAATTGAAGTGAGAAATATAAATTAATATAAAAAATTTATTTATTTAAATTCAAACGCATTTAGAGAAGCTTAATTCTAGAATAATTGTTAGAATATTTTATATATTAAATATTATAGGATTTCTTTAATTCGCGAAATGGAATTTATATTAACTTTAAAGTGAAGACTTTTAAAAGATGTCCATATAAAAATTTTCTTAATAGTTTTAATAATTATGTTTAACGTCGATTGTAGAAAGAGATTTAAACTATGTCATATTTAATTTAAAACAGCAAGATTCACGCTATTATATTAAATTATTGTAAGATGACATGGACATGTGAAATGTCAAGAGTAGTGTCACGTAATTAAATGTCAAAAGTTAATTGATATTAGATAGAAGTCCGCGAAGTCCGCAAACTTCAAGCTTCATCGTCGTTGACACGAAAAAAATAACCAAATGCCACAAACACTGAATACATTTTCAGTTTTGTTTGCGAAAGTTACGAACAGCCATCGCTGTAAATTCAAATACAGTCTGTCTATAACGCGAGTAATTCGACCGTGCGATTGTTACGTTCGGGATAAGTGCCGTCGCTCGTAGCCGGCGGCCATCACCGCTCGGATTTACTCAACCACTCGGGAGAAAGCAAAGTTCTCCACTGCTTGGAATATTTGGAAACGGTGTTTGCGCCGCAACAATGGCCAGACGTGCTACGGATAAACGCTCGACTGGTTATTAAGAGCAAAAATCCGCTTAGAGCAAGAAGCTCCCGAACAGATCGTTACGCTGATCGAAGAATATACCTGCGTCGTGGACCCTTCCAGTAGCAAATTTCGAATTTCAAGGGCCTTCCGCCTTCGCGGAACAACACGTAGAAACTCTAATTAAATTCCTCTGCTTACAAAAGCAATTTCCATAAGCTTTAACAAATAAACACTCTCGACACAGTGATCATGGATAAAAATACAATAACACAATGAAACATTTCATAAAATTTCGCGCTTTTGGATCCATTTCGGTAATCAGAATTTTTAGATCGTTTAAATTCGCCACTGGACGTTTTTCACGGTTTGTTGTTCTCAGGCTCTTATTTAGCGGCCTAACGAATGTGCTCTCTTTTTCTCCGATCGTTACTTCCGATTGTGGTTAAGAGCTATTGTTGCAGCTGCACGCGTTGTGGAAACTTAATGCGAGAGTAACCGATTTACGGCGACGATTCGAAATTGAAATATACACGGTTAGAGGCAGGCAAGAGCAGGACCGCCGGTCAACCGGCTGATATCGGTAGGCAGGGCCGGTTGGTTAGACATGTGGGCCGCGGAGGCTTCGGAAGCCCTAGTACTTCCCCGTGTTTCTTCCGCACTTCCCCGGCAGTCTGTCTGCGATCTGATCTCGTTTCGATACACGCTTACCTTATGAGAATGTATTTGACTTTGTCCGATCGCGAGCACTTTGCGCTTACATTTTATTTGGTCGATAATATCGATTTTGTGTTCGCGGTAACAAATAGAATCGACAATTCATTCGCTTTAACATTTCGCAAAATTATCCGATATCCGCTTGATTTATTTCGTAAATTTATTCAGAATCTGCTTAGCGATATATTTCTTCTCTCGTCTTGAAATAAATTTCCTCTTAGGAATTCATAACGTTTACGCGGTTTTAAATTATGATGTAAAACATATTAAAACTTTTCAGCGCGAAATATCGCAGTTTCCTTTTTTCTTCAGACATCGCGGGGCACTTTGCTTATTATCTTGAGAAGCTCGAATTTTATTAAGTCCGCGCAACAACAAACGCGTTTGCAAACATCTTTCCTTTCATTAAGAGAGAGAGAGAGAGTTCGCTTCAATGAAACTTATTTTCTTCCACATTCGGTAAATCGATTAGGTATCGATCTGCTTTTCAAGGGCACTGTCTCGTTTGATAAACCAGCAACGTTCACGCTTATACGATTCGGTAGCGAGGCGCCATACACCATTGACCATTTATCACCTCGACGAAGGTGTCGGCGCGGGCGATAGATGCGACACAATACAACGACAACGACGAATTAAGAGAAACCCTCCCTAAGAGAATTCCTCAGCGACACGCGATCTTCGCTGCGTCTTATTCTTAACCCCCGATTCTCTTGGCATCGAGACGAGAGAGATATCGAGGCTCTCTCGAGCGGGCTTCGCATAGTCGAACGGAGAAACGACGGCCCGGGGCACACAAATGCCCCGGAAAAGATAAAGGAAATCTGACAACCGCCTGTTTGTAAGCATTCAGGGACCCTTCTCTGAAGGAGCAGGTATAAACACCAAAACACTCGGATCTCTCTCGGCGGAGAGATCCTCCACCTTTTACTGCCTAATTCCGTAGGACTTACGTCTTAGAGACGGCCACGAGCACTCGACGGTCGGTCGTTTTACGAGTTCTCTCTCTCCATAGGTAGGTACTCGAGGACTCTTTAGCGATATTTCTCTCTGTAATGGGCTCTCTCGATCTAGGTCACCGAGCAAGCACTTGACTCGCGCGATTCGCCTCTGATTTCTATTTCTCTCTTCCCGCCGAGATGATCTCTCGAGTGTAGCGATTCTATTCAAGCTTTCATATTTAATTTACAGCTGATAATACTGAATGCTCCATTTCGAAGCTTCTCGACTTTATAATAATATTCTTATACCGTACACTTTTAATATAAATTAAAGCGGGAAAAAAAATATTTTTAAAGAAATCCGCATTTATACATGTCTGTCTTTCAATTTCTTAGATGTTATACATACATATATCTTGATGCTTGATGGAAAATAAAGTTGCAAAGTAAAATCCTGTCAAGATAAAAGTTATTTGAAATTAATTAAAAAATAAACTTTTTATTCGCTTACTCTATAGATTTTAAAACTATCAACTTTATTTTCTAAAGTTAAAATATTGTAATAATTAAAATTCTTTTTTCTGTGAAATTTTCTAAGGTAAGAAGTAGTTTTAGAATTTAT